ATCTGTGTCTTCCTGGTTCTGAATATAGAACATGTATCATTATAAAACAAAGCAATAAAAGTATTTGATAAAAAAGTTATTTTCTTCCATGTTTTATAAGTCATAAATCTTTCCATACTATTGAATGATGATGACATAAACCTTTTGCTCAGTGGTACTGCTGTGAATGTGGGCCTCTATAACTAACTGTAACCTATACTCTCAGTTCTGTGACTCTCACCCTCAATTAGGGTTGCAAAATGCTGGTAACTTTCTCAAAATTCCCAAGTTTTCCAGAAATCCCAGTTTGGGTATACCCATATTTCCTGCTTATTCCCACCTGATTCCAGGCATATTCCGACCGGGATTTCTGGAAAACGTGGGAATTCTTTGAAAGTTCTCGGAATTTTGCAACCCTACACTCAAGACAACAGCAGTTTACAGGCAAACAATGGCGATAATCTGAAGGCCACCTTATCCTATCCTAATAAGTGCATCATGGTTGACGATCTTGGCCGAGTGGAGATGGGTAGTAGGGGATACAATCCGTAAGAACATCTTATAGATGTACAATTAACAATATTATTTCCCCCCCCAAAAAAATTTCCTCACAAAAATAGCAAATGGCAGCACACAACTATTAAAATGTATTTTCAAACTGGACTTAAATAAAACTGCTACGCATAACTTTCATTAAAATGAGTAAAGAACCAACTTGGATATAAATGGAGAGCCCACAGCAATTCTGAACGGGCTATTTCCAATTCATCACTATAGCAAAAATAGAACATACATCATCATCGGTTCGGAACCTCTACAGCATTGCAACTGACAAACTGTCTGTATTGCAGAGGTTACTTTTACTTTCTCCAAGCACCATATAATAAATATGCTGGTTAAAAAACTACTCAAAATTGAAAAAGCTAATATTCAATGCGTTCCTACAAAATACAATGTTTAGGAAAGCAGTCAACAGTGTGAATCTGCTAAGAGGAGGAGGAGGTGGTATTAGTTACTAAAATGGCATTTCACCTCCTTGAAATCAAACATAGGTGCAAGTAGCACCCTGAAAACTATACTGAACAAAAACATAAACGCAACATGTAAAGTCTTGGTCCTATGATTAAATAAAACATCCCACAAATTTTCCATACGCACAAAAAGCTTATTTCTCTCAAAATGTGTGCACAAATTTGTTTACATCCCTGTTAGTGAGCATTTCTCATTTTCCAATATAATCCATCCACCTGACAGGTGTGGCATCTCAAGAAGCTGATTAAACAGCATGATTATTACACAGGTGCACCTTGTGCTGGGGATAATAAAAGGCAACTCTAGAATGTGCAGTTTTGTCACACAACACAATGCCATAGATGTCTCAAGTTTTTAGGGAGCATGCAATTGGCATGCTGATTGCAGGCATGTCCACCAGAGCTGTTGCCAGATAATTTAATGTTAATTTCTCTACCATAAGCCGCCTCCAATGTCATTTTAGAGAATTTGGCAGTACAGTGATCCCTCGCCACTTCGCGGTTCACTTATCGCGGATTCGCTATTTCGCGGATTTTCATAATGCATTTTTTTTTTTTTGGTGCATTGTGCTCTGCATTCTGATTCGCTAAAAACTCACTCCCGCTTCTTGTATCAAAACATGCTACGAATTGTGCTATCATTTTGTCGTCTCGTGCAGTTATGTGTACGTACATAAAACAGCTTGGCAAATTTACATTAAGTTGGCCAAATTATCTTGTAATTTCGAACATCTCCTAAACCCATAATGTCGACGAAACGGCCTGGACCGACAAAAGCACCTGCGGATGGGCCCAAACGGCGGAAGATGCTACCTATCTCAGATAAAGTTAAACTTCTGGACATGCTAAGGGAAGGTAAAAGCTATGCAGCCGTTGCTCGCCATTACGGAATCAATGAATCGAGAGATGAGGAGGAAGGACTAACGCTTGGTCGCTTAGCAACCATGGTGCGAATGGCCACTGAACTTAAGCGAGTAGCTGAGGAATGGGACCCTTTGATGAGCCGTTCATTACAGTTCTCCAACGTAATCGATGGTGGCATGTCGGTGTACAAGGATCTTTTTGCAAAGAAGAAAAAAGAGCGACAACAGCTGCCTATCACTATGTTCTTCTCCCGAACAAACACACCTGCACCGCGGGCTTCAGAAGAAGAGAACACTGCAGAGCGCAGTCAGGATGCAGCGGCCCAGTCTGAAGAGCAGTGAAACGGCCTACACGTGAGTCACTGTATTTGTATACATGTAATAGTTGCTAATTGTAAAAAAAAAAAGTTTTCTATTTCGCGGATTTCACTTATCGCGGGTCATTTTCGGAACGTAACCCCCGCGATAAACGAGGGATTACTGTACATGCAACTGGCCTCACATCCGCAGACCACGTGTAACCATGCCAGCCCAGGACATCCACATCCAGCTTCTTCACCTGCGGGATCGTTTGAGACCAGCCACCTGGACAGCTGATGAAACTGAGGAGTATTTATGTCTGTAATAAAGCCCTTTTTTGGGGAAAAACTCATTCTGATTGGCCTGGCCTGGCTCCCAAGTGGGTGGACCTATGCCCTCCCAGGCATGGCTGCACCCCTGCCCAGTCATGTGAAATCCATAGATTAGGGCCTAATTTATTTATTTCAATCGACTGATTTCCTTATATGAACTGTAACTCAGTAAAATCATTGAAATTGTTGCATGTTGTGTTAATATTTTTGTTCAGTATACATAGGAAAATATATACATACAGTCATGGCCAAAATTGTTGGCACCCCTGAAAATTTTTCCAGAAAATGAAGTATTTCTCACAGAAAAGTATTGAAATTACACATGTTTTGCTATGCACATGTTTATTTCCTTTGTGTGTATTGGAATAACACAAAAAAAAACAGGAAAAAAGCAAATTTGACATAATTTCACACAAAACTAAAAAAATGGGCCGGACAAAGTTATTGGCACCCTTTCAAAATTGTGGATAAATAAGTTTGTTCCAAGCATGTGATGCTCCTTTAAACTCACCTGGGGCAAGTAACAGGTGTGGGCAATCTAAAAATCACACCTGAAAGCAGATAAAAAGGAGAGAAGTTGACTCAGTCTTTGCATTGTGTTTCTGTGTGTGCCACACTAAGCATGGAGAACAGAAAGAGGAAAAGAGAACTGTCTGAGGACTTGAGAACCAAAATTGTGGAAAAATATCAACAATCTCAAGGTTACAAGTCCATCTCCAGAGATCTAGATGTTCCTTTGTCCACAGTGCGCAACATGATCAAGAAGTTTGCAACCCATGGCACTGTAGCTAATCTCCCTGGACGTGGACGGAAGAGAAAAATTGATGAAAGGTTGCAACGCAGGATAGTCCGGATGGTGGATAAGCAGCCCCAAACAAGTTCCAAAGAAATTCAAGCTGTCCTGCAGGCTCAGGGTGCATCAGTGTCAGCGCGAACTATACGTCGAAATTTGAATGAAATGAAACGCTATGGCAGGAGACCCAGGAGGACCCCACTGCTGACACAGAGACATAAAAAAGCAAGACTACAGTTTGCCAAAATGTACATGAGTAAGCCAAATTCCTTCTGGGAGAACGTCTTATGGACAGATGAGACCAAGATAGAGCTTTTTGGTAAAGCACATCGTTCTACTGTTTACCGAAAATGTAATGAAGCCTTCAAAGAAAAGAACACAGTACCTACAGTCAAATATGGTGGAGGTTCAAAGATGTTTTGGGGTTGTTTTGCTGCCTCTGGCACTGGGTGCCTTGACTGTGTGCAAGGCATCATGAAATCTGAGGATTACCAAAGGATTTTGGGTCGCAATGTAGGGCCCAGTGTCAGAAAGCTGGGTTTGCGTCCGAGATCATGGGTCTTCCAGCAGGACAATGACCCCAAACATACTTCAAAAAGCACCCAGAAATGGATGGCAACAAAGCGCTGGAGAGTTCTGAAGTGGCCAGCAATGAGTCCAGATCTTAATCCCATTGAACACCTGTGGAGAGATCTTAAAATTGCTGTTGGGAAAAGGCACCCATCCAATATGAGAGACCTGGAGCAGTTTGCAAAAGAAGAGTGGTCCAAAATTCCGGGTGAGAGGTGTAAGAAGCTTATTGATGGTTATAGGAAGCGACTGATTTCAGTTATTTTTTCCAAAGGGTGTGCAACTAAATATTAAGTTAAGGGTGCCAATCATTTTGTCCGGCCCATTTTTTGAGTTTTGTGTGAAATTATGTCAAATTTGCTTTTTTCCTGTTTTTTTTGTGTTATTCCAATACACACAAAGGAAATAAACATGTGCATAGCAAAACATGTGTAATTTCAATACTTTTCTGTGAGAAATACTTCATTTTCTGGAAAAATTTCAGGGGTGCCAACAATTTTGGCCATGACTGTATGTACGTAAATTAACAACTGGCAACATTCTGTCAAATATTGAGTCAGAAAACACAAGTGTTTATGAGGATGAGTGGCAGTATCATTTGTGTCTGCTTCACTCCCTTTAGGAAATCCTTCCTACCACTGAATTATATTGAGTGAATTTTTGTTATTATTATTATTAGAAAGCTACATCTTGTTTGGGAGCAAAATTCAAGGTCCGATATCACTTCCATTCAAGATACAAGTTACTGCTACTGGGCACCGGCAGGGTCACATAAAACATGACATGGATGGTAATAACCATAGGGACAGGTTTCCCGGACACAGATCAAGCCTAGTCCTGGGCTAAAAAGCATCTCCATTGAAATATATTTTTGGTCCAGGACTAGGCTTAATCAGTGTCTGGGAAACCGGTGCATAATGCTGAAATGATGAAGGGATGAATTGAAGAAAAAGAAAAACAAACAGTCCAAACTAGGGGTTGGAAAGTTATTTTCAGAGGAAGTCCTTTAGTCAGAGCTACACTTACTCACTCAGTGGATAAATTAAGGTAAAGTGAGGAGAAGTCTGGATCAGGAATATCAGTGCTGGTGGTTTGTTGGAGGAGTAGGCTTCTCCATGCTGTAGTTGGCAGGCTACTCCATGATGGCTCTGTAGATCACAGGTTCAATGTAGTCTCCTCTGTACCGTGAGTTGATCACTCTCTGCCTCTTCGACTGCTGGATGGCCTCCTTGTCCTCAAAGATACCATCAAAACGCATGTCTGACGCCTTGGACTGGGGAGAGAGGGGGCAGGGTACACACAGAAGATGAGGATTACTCCATTGTCACAGGGAGAAGACTCTTTAACAAACATGCTGGAGAATAAGACACAGTAGAGTGAACACGTTTGGAGTTGATATACAATGTACAAAGGTTAGCAACTTTGGATTCAGTATATTGGATAGCTCACAGTACACTCACCAGTCTTGACTTGACTCTCTTGGGCAGCTCCTCATCCAGGGTATAGACATCATCTCTCTTGGCTGTTAGTTGTGACCCGTCTTCAAATTCCACCTACATCAAACAACACCATCAATGCCACAATAACCACATTTTATGTCTCTCATATCAAAACAAAACAATGGTTTCATCACAGACTTTTAATGTATTGCTTGCTATGAGTATTATTAGGTTTTAAACAATCTGGATCAATTAGACAGCAAAGCAGTCTTTGATATAAGAGTGTATAATCTCTTTCTGCATAAGGTACATTGTTGCTGAGGGCGAGTATGAATACTGTTGCATTACCTGGTACATTTGGATGATGTGAGCAGCCACAAACCTGGCCCCGTAGACTAGACCATCTGTCCACCGGACCTGCACCACCTCCCCCTGCGGTGGGGGGCCTAGCTGGGCACAATTCCGGTTCTGAAAACAACCATTAGATACAATCCTATAAACATACTAAAGCCATCACACAATTTCAAGCAATGTGTTGTACATATTAGAGCAGGGATGCTAAACCGAAAATTACCGACATTTTGCGTATGTCTGTAATTTTGCTACACAACTTTCCTGTAGATTGTTCTAAAACCATTATTTGGTCAACAGTAATAGCCTATGCATTATGTTGATTCCTGCTATGAAAGTATCTGCCTGTCCCTGTTTCGCTGTCGGCTGCTGTGTGAGCGAGCCACTCTCACTCCCTCTCCCACTGTGCGCACGGAGGAGGGAGAGATGCATTCTGAGAAGCACAAGCATATTAACGTTGCTCAAAATGCAATTTCGGGAAAAATACCGTTTTTAAACCAACTACTGTTTTTCAAAGCCACTACTATATTTCTCACCTCTTAATATTGAGTTCATGGCACCACTTTACAACCGGAATAATCTGTAGTATGTTTTTGATGCCCCCGTGGAGCGGAGCAGAGCGTGCCATTTGCAGTGAATAGGCCTACATCAAGTAGCCTAGGCCTAGTGCTGGAATGTTTTTGTAGGACATTAGCCTACATTTACTGATATATTTAATCAATTAACCTACATGGCTATATAGCAACAATATCATATTTATTGTTAGCAATCTAGCTAAGTGTTTTGAGTTCCCACTTCCTCAGGTGGTGAATAATATAGCCTAGGCCAATATGCACAAAGATGTCGGCAAATTCTCTGAAGAGCCAAAAAGAAATCTGATCATTCTGCATCCTATTTCGATAGGTTACACATCAAAATATCAACAATGCATTCCCTGGATATGTTACATGAAATAGCTTACTTTTTTAATCACCACTCAGCTGTCTTACTTGGCAGTGGATGAAAATGTTCTAGAGTCCTGCCGCTAATGTAAAGTTAACTGTCCCTTAATTGATTTATTATTGTTAATAAGCAAAATAGTTACATTTATCACAATATTACTTTTGTCCATATCGCCTAGCTCTATTACATATTGTGTAAGCAATCTAAGCAATCTATAAACTAATAATGAACAGCATATGAACTACTGAACCCCCTCATGAAACACTGACCACTGTCACGGTTTCGGCCGAGGCTGCCTCTCTTCCTTGCTCGGGCAGGCTTCGGCGGTCGTCGTCTCCGGAGTACTAGCTGCCACCGTTGAATGTTTCTATGTTCGTTTGGTTTTGTCTTTATGTTGTACACCTGTTTTCGTTTAGCGCTAATTAGTGTCCTATAAGTTCTCGTTGTGTTTGTCAGGTGTTGTGTGTGATTGTTTCGCTGTCGTGTTTGTGCGCTACTGTTGCCCGTTTGCTCTTCGTGGTTTTCCTCCTCTGTTTAGGAGGGTATTTTCGCACATGTTAGTGCGCCTTTCGGTTTACGCCTGTGTGCGTATTTTCTCGCCTCCGGGCTTTTTGGCTCGTGTATTGAGTGTGCTTTCACTAAAGTCTTTTGGACTAATGTTCTGCGTCCTGCGCCTGATTCCTGCACCACACCCACCTACAGCACCCTCTGACAGAATCACACACCCGAAGGATGGAATCAGCAGGAGCCGCAGCAGCACATGAGTCTCTGGAGGATCGGGTCCGTGAGCAGAATGACCAGATCCTTCGTATCGGGACCGCCCTGCAGGACGTTATAAACACCCTTCAACGCTGGGAGACCAGAGGGACACCCCCAACTCCACCTCCCCTACCATCACCATCGGCCAGTCAGCCCATTCAAGCTCCGGAACCCAGGGGAATTCGACTCTCGCTCCCGAGGGCCTATGATGGGACCGCTGCCGGTGTCAGGGCTTCCTTCTACAGGTGGAGCTATACCTGGCCACCGTGCACCCGGCGCCCTCTGGACACGAGAGCGTGTCCGCACTCATCTCCTGTCTTACCGGCAAGGCGTTGGAATGGGCCAACGCCGAGTGGAGGAGAATAGACGCCACCACCATCACCTACTCTGAGTTCTCCCGCCGCTTCAGGGCTGTGTTTGACCATCCTCCTGAGGGGAAAGCGGCGGGGGAGCGTCTGTTCTACCTCCGGCAGGGGAGGAGGAGCGCCCAGGAGTTCGCTTTAGAATTCCGTACTCTAGCGGCGGATGCAGGGTGGAATGAGCGGGCCCTCATCGATCACTACCGCTGTAGTCTACGAGAGGACGTCCGTCAGGAGCTGGCCTGCAGGGATACCAGCCTCTCTTTCGATCAGTTAGTGGACATGTCCATCAGGCTGGACACCCTGCTGGCTACCCGCGGACGTCCCGAGGGGGGTCCGTCCATTTCATCCTCCAGCGCCTCCGAGCCGAGCCCTATGGAGCTTGGGGGCGCTGGCGCTAGAGAGAGGAGGGGTCGGAGTACGAGGGGGGCCGTCCACTGCACCAACTGTGGCCGTGGAGGACACACCGCGGCTAGGTGCTGGGGAGGGTCTCCTAGGGGAGAAGACGACAGGCTCCGCACTGGGGAGTCCTTCCAGGTGAGTAGGCGCCCCACTTACCCAGAGCTCTCTGTTGCGCACTTCTGTATACCTGTGCGTTTTCCACAGGTAGCACCTCATTCCCAGCATAAGGCGCTGGTAGATTCAGGCGCGGCTGGGAATTTTGTTGATAGAAAATTTTGTTTAGAATTAGGGATTCCCCTTCTTCCTGTTGACGTCCCATTCCCCGTTCATGCCCTAGATAGCCGTCCGTTGGGATCGGGCTTGATCAGGGAGGTCACGGCGCCACTTAGGATGTGTGCGCAGGGGGGTCATGAGGAGATTATCCAGCTATTTCTGATCGACTCGCCTGCGTATCCGGTGGTGCTGGGCATGCCCTGGTTGAGTATCCATAACCCGTCTATTTCGTGGCAGGAGAGGGCTCTGATGGAGTGGTCTGCCCAGTGTGTGGGTCGATGTTTAGGCGTTTCCGTGGGGGCTACCTCGGTGGAGAGTCCAAACCAGGTGCCCGCATTGCACATTCTCCCTGAGTATGAGGATTTGGCTATTGTGTTCAGTAAGTCGAGGGCGACGCAGTTGCCTCCCCATAGGCAGGGAGATTGTGCGATAGACCTCCAGGCAGGAGCTGCGCTCCCACGGAGCCATGTGTATCCTCTGTCTCAAGAGGAGAAGAGCGCTATGGAGACTTACATAGACGAATCTCTGAGACAAGGATACATACGGCCATCCACTTCCCCTGCGTCCTCGAGTTTCTTTTTTGTGAAGAAAAAGGATGGAGGGTTACGCCCGTGCATTGATTACCGTAGTCTCAATCAGATCACGGTGAAGTACAGTTATCCACTTCCTCTGATTGCGACCATGATGGAGTCATTGCACGGGGCGCGTTTTTTCACTAAATTAGATCTCAGGAGCGCTTACAACTTGGTGCGCATTAGGGAGGGCGATGAATGGAAGACAGCATTTAGTACCACCTCGGGGCATTACGAGTATCTTGTCATGCCATACGGGTTGATGAACGCTCCTTCAGTTTTCCAATCATTCGTGGATGAGATATTCAGGGACATGCAGGGGCAGGGGGTGGTCGTGTACATAGATGACATTCTCGTGTACTCGTCTACCCGAGTCGAGCATGTGGCCCTGGTGCGCCGAGTGTTGAGGAGGCTGTTGGAGCACGACCTGTATGTCAAGGCAGAGAAGTGTCTGTTTTTCCAGGAGTCGATCTCCTTTTTGGGTTATCAGTTGTCTGCGTCAGGGGTGAAGATGGAGGTTGACCGGGTGTCAGCCGTGCGTAATTGGCAAACTCCAACCACTGTTAAAGAGGTGCAGCAGTTTTTGGGGTTTGCGAATTACTACCGGAGGTTTATCCGGGGTTTTGGACAGGTGGCAGCTCCCATAACGTCTCTTTTAAAGGGGGGTCCGGTGCGTTTGCAGTGGTCAGCCGAGGCGGACAGGGCTTTTGGGAGGCTGAAGGACCTGTTTACTTCGGCTCCGGTGCTGGCGCATCCGGATCCCTCTTTACCATTTCAGGTAGAGGTGGACACGTCAGAGGCCGGTATAGGAGCCGTGCTTTCGCAACGGTCCGGCAAGCCACCTAAACTCCGCCCCTGTGCTTTTTATTCCAAAAAGCTCAGTCCGGCGGAGCAAAATTATGACGTAGGGGACAGGGAGCTGTTAGCCGTGGTACAGGCCCTAAAGGTGTGGAGGCACTGGCTTGAGGGGGCTCAACACCCTTTCCTCATTTTGACTGACCACCGTAACCTGGAGTACATCCGGGCAGCTAGGAGACTGAACCCTCGCCAGGCGCGGTGGAACATATTTTTGGCCCGGTTCGTATTTAAGATCACGTACATCCCTGGGTCACAGAACGGTAAGGCAGACGCACTGTCTCGGCGGTACGACACGGAGGAGAGGTCCGTGGAGCCCACTCCCATACTGCCGGAGTCTTGTCTGGTGGCACCGGTAGTGTGGGAGGTCGATGCTGAGATCGAGCGGGCGTTGCGCACCGACCCTAGTCCTCCTCAATGCCCGGAGGGTCGGACGTACGTCCCGCTCGAGGTTCGGGATCGATTGATCTATTGGGCTCACACGTCACCCTCCTCTGGACATCCTGGTTTAGGCCGGACAGTGCACTGCCTTAGTGCTAAGTACTGGTGGCCCACGTTGGCGAGGGATGTGAGGGTTTATGTCTCCTCCTGCTCGGTGTGTGCCCAGTGTAAGGCGCCTAGACATCTGCCTAGGGGTAAGTTACAACCCCTGCCCGTTCCACAACGACCATGGTCTCACCTCTCGGTGGACTTCATCACTGACCTTCCCTCCTCGCAGGGGAATACTACTATACTGGTCGTTGTGGACCGGTTCTCTAAGGCCTGTCGTTTGCTCCCTATGCCGGGCCTTCCTACTGCCCTACAGACCGCCGAAGCTCTATTCACCCATATTTTCCGGCACTACGGGGTACCCGAGGATATTGTGTCTGATCGAGGTCCCCAATTCACCTCCAGAGTCTGGAGAGCCTTTATGGAGCGTTTGGGGGTCTCGGTGAGCCTCACCTCGGGTTACCATCCTGAGAGTAATGGGCAGGTGGAACGTGTGAACCAGGATGTGGGTAGGTTTCTTAGATCATACTGCCAGGACCGGCCGGAGGAGTGGGCACGGTACGTTCCCTGGGCAGAAATGGCCCAGAATTCCCTACGCCATTCCTCAACTAACCTAACCCCTTTCCAATGTGTGTTAGGTTACCAGCCGGTTCTGGCACCTTGGCAGCAGAGCCAGATCGAGGCTCCTGCGGTGGATGAGTGGGTGCGGCGCTTGGAGGAGACGTGGAACGCTGCACACATCCACCTGCAGCGGGCCCTCCGTCGTCAGAAGGCGAGCGCCGATCTCCACCGCAGTGAGGGGCCGGTGTACGCACCTGGTGATCGAGTCTGGCTCTCTACCAGAAACCTGCCCCTCCGCATGCCCTGTCGGAAACTGGGTCGGCGGTTTGTGGGGCCGTTTAAAGTCCTGAGAAGATTGAACGAGGTGTGTTACAGATTACAACTGCCTATTGAGTATAAAAATATTAACCCCTCGTTCCATGTGTCTCTTCTCAGGCCAGTGGTAGCTGGCCCACTCCAGGAAGATGAAATCAGGGAGACTCCTCCGCCCCCATTGGACATCGAGGGGGCACCGGCGTACTCCGTGCAGTCCATCTTGGATTCGAGACGTCGGATGGGGGGTCTCCAATATCTGGTGGAGTGGGAGGGGTACGGCCCGGAGGAACGGTGCTGGGTGCCGAGGAGAGACATTTTGGACCCGTCTCTCCTGACAGAATTCCACCGTAGTCACCCGACGCGCCCTGCTCCGCGTCCTCCTGGTCGTCCCCGAGGCCGGAGTCGGCGCACGTCTGGAGCCGCGCGTCAAGGGGGGGTACTGTCACGGTTTCGGCCGAGGCTGCCTCTCTTCCTTGCTCGGGCAGGCTTCGGCGGTCGTCGTCTCCGGAGTACTAGCTGCCACCGTTGAATGTTTCTATGTTCGTTTGGTTTTGTCTTTATGTTGTACACCTGTTTTCGTTTAGCGCTAATTAGTGTCCTATAAATTCTCGTTGTGTTTGTCAGGTGTTGTGTGTGATTGTTTCGCTGTCGTGTTTGTGCGCTACTGTTGCCCGTTTGCTCTTCGTGGTTTTCCTCCTCTGTTTAGGAGGGTATTTTCGCACATGTTAGTGCGCCTTTTGGTTTACGCCTGTGTGCGTATTTTCTCGCCTCCGGGCTTTTTGGCTCGTGTATTGAGTGTGCTTTCACTAAAGTCTTTTGGACAAATTTTCTGCGTCCTGCGCCTGATTCCTGCACCACACCCACCTACAGCACCCTCTGACAACCACAATCTGGCACCACACACCACACCGACCCACGAACGCACGCACGCACACACGTAAGTCTTACCACAATGTCCTCAGGAAAGAGGTTATCGCTGAAGGAACCGTCATCAAAGTTGACCTCATAGAATGTCTCCTTGGACAGCTGCACCACGTCACACTGGTAGTAGCGGCCATTTTTGTGCTTACAGATCACCCTCTGTCCCACAGTGAGCTCATGCATGGCTGCTTTGTTACGCTGAGAGAGGAGAGAGAAGGGATCAGTGACGATTAAACAGTCATCAACAGGATTACCATCAAATAAGAACTATCAACCCCTTTGGACTGGAAGTACGTGGGCATACTTGTGGGAGTTTGCACTAAAATCTACAACCTAGTCATGTTTATGAAATACAATGTGGTGAGCACAGTCCTGAATACATTGAGTGTACAAAACATCCAGTTAAATCCACTTCAATCAGTGTAGATGAAAGGGAAGAGACCAGTTAAAGAAGGATTTTTAAGCCTTGAGACAATTGAGAGATGGATTGTGTATGTGTGCCAGAGGGTGAATGGGCAAGACAAAATATTTAAGTGCCTTTAAACGGGGTATGGTAGTAGGTGCAAGGCGCACCGGTTTGTGTCGAGAACAGCAATGCTTCTGGGTTTTTCATGCGCAACAGTTTCCCGTATGTATCAAGAATGGTCCACCACCCAAAGGACATCCAGCCAACTTGACACAACTGTTGGAAGCATTGGAGTCAACATGGGCCAGCATCCCTGTGGAACACTTTCAACACCTTGTATAGGCCATGCCCTGATGAATTGAGACTGTTTTGAGGCCAAAGGGGGGTGCAACTCAATATTTGGAAGGTGTCCCTAATGTTTGGTATACTCAGTGTATATAGAAGGTTTAGAAACTATAAGGCAAAGTATCAGCAGAATGTTCTAACTTAAGTCCCAAAACAGAGGCCTTCAGAGTTCCCCCTGTCTGGTGTATGGCTTCCTCTTTCTGAAACACCAATCCTAAACACCAAGTAAAGTACAACTGATGTATACCTCTGTCTGAATAGGGCCTTTGTGCCGGCAGCAGGTGACATAGACCACGAAAGGCCACTCGTCTGGCTGCATGAGGACCCCAGCGGCCTGGGCACAGGTAGGGTGGTAGGCCGTAGGACAGCGGCCATGGGAACACTGTACACAGCACCCGGACGTCTTCTTCAGCCGCTTCTTACAATAGTAACATTTCTGCACAGCACAGAGAAGCATAAGAACATTCTCAGAGAGACAGGAAAGGGAAGTCTCACAGGGAAAACTAGGCCTGTATGTCCGGTCAAACAGTCTACTGTAGGCTACATCCTCTAGAAATGCAATGGCTGTCATGATTCATGTGAAAGGGCTAAATTCAGAAACAAGGCTTTGCAGAAAGAGAGCTGTCTTTTCATAGCCCACCTGATATGTCAGAAGTTCTGACTGACTGGGCTTAGTCACAAACTCACATAACATCCTCTAAATAGCCTAGTCTCTAGTCCAAGGATGGGCAACTTTGATGGGGGTGGGGGCCACAGCTAATTTCCTGCAATTCTACACATTTTGCCATAGGGTGGAGAGAAATGTTTGCAGATTTTAATATGATATCTCAGTGGGGCCCCCCGGCCGGTTTAGATAGCTGGCTGCTAGAATAACTTACCAATCAAAAAAAAAAAATGCTGACATGGGCTAATTGAGTGACTATCAGTGACTGACATAAGAGAAACTGCTGATGCACAACCACATTTCCAAATTGCACCTTGTGTATTCCACTACTCTAATTTGCAACAGTAAGTTGAAACCCTGACTGAGTAAAAAAGAAAAAAAATAATACATCCCCGCTCTAGTCTAACCTTGTAGTAGATCGCAAGCAGAACTACTGTCACCTGCATAGAGGCGGATGTGCCAACCATGTTCACGTTTTGTAATGCAAATAACATAATATGCTGAAGAGAGGATATTCCGCCACTCTCTCCTCTCTTCAGTTTGCTCCTCTTCATGCACCTTGGTTGGAGAGAGTGAGGTAGTGACAGAGTTCTTATCCCTTAGCACGTAATAACATGTTGACATTTACTGTGTTTAACTCACCAGTTTAAACCTCTGTAGAGGAATCCCACTCAGATCCACAGGGCTTCTCTCAGTGATGTTCACAAAGCGAGCCTCCAACACTGCTACTGCGCACAGCACATGGACCCACCTACAACACACAACAACATGTCAATACACACACACCATCGTTAGTGGCTTATAAACTAAATGTAAACCTAGTAGATATCTTTCAAAATAACATCTAACTATGTGAACATAAGTGTACATAAATACATCAATATACTGTTGATTAGAGTTGCAGAGTACATTTTCAGTGTGTGATTACTGATTGTTCGACTAGACCAATCCCTGATCAAAGGAAATTTGACTGGCACACTGACTTACTTGTTGTTGTTGGCTTTCTGCAAGGCTCCACCCCTCAGCGAACACAAACAGCAACTCTGCAAACAGGAGAGCAAACTGTCAACCATCATCATCCAAGTCATCTAAAACATACATACAGCCAATGGCAAGGTGTGGTAGCTGCTACCTGATGACCAATAACAGTCAGTCACATATCATTAGGAGACTATTGCAAACACTACTGCCAGATCTAATGACTGTTTAGAGTACTGCAAAGTTCACAAACACTATTGCCAGTAACAGCAACAGAGATTTGGGCCAGCTAGGTGAGGTGAGTCATACATGATGAAGGGCCACTCTGAGCTGTTGTGTTGTGGAGACACTAACCTCAGTCATGGCGTTGGCCTTACAGCGAGCACACTTCCAGTCCTTAGTCACACTCTTTGGATCCACGCCATAACAGCCTGGTAACACACAACCAAACAAACACCAGGTCAGGGGACGAAATTAACCAAGCATACACCATGAGCTAGTTTGGGAGGATGATTGGCAGACAGACATTGATGAAGTCTTAAGTGGTTGCACAGAAATCTAAGTGTATTCAGGGATCTGTAAATAATGACGAGATGCTCATGTCTCCGCCCTAACAATGGGAGTCGTTGTCCCAAAGGCGGGAAGGCAGGCTACAGGACTGTTTCGCTAGCACAGACTGTAATATGTTCCGGGATTCATCCAATAACATTGAGGAGTTTACCACATCAGTCACCGGCTTCATTAAAGGGGACTGGAAACACTAGGCTTTACAACACCAGCTAACTGTAAATAGTCGATATTCACGTAATAATAAGAAATTCCCCTCGACCACGTCCACAAATTAGGGAAAACAAAGATTCTTTCCCATTCACCCCTATTGTAAAAGAGCCAACTTTGTTGTCGATTTTTAGTTATAAAGAAATAACAAAACATGCCGAAAAGCTGCTGTGTTGTTCAATGTAGATGTAACCAGGTCGAAAATTACGACCTATAGATCGCAATGCTCCCACATAGAGAAATAGAGTCTGTGAGAAGAGCCATGTAGCTTCAGGCTATTCGGTGTGGGAAAGTGAAACATGTGGGGACCCGGTGTCCAAGTAGGCTACTTGAAGCTATGTGTATGGAAAACATTTAATCACAGGTAAGACATTTAACTTGTTTAGTATAGTCCATTTGTAACTCCACTCACTATTTGTGGCTGTATAGTCCATTTGTTTGTGTTGTTGGTCTTGGCTAGCTTAATGTTCCGGTCGATAGATCGCTAATACTCACATGGCTGCTAGCACAGTCATGAAACGGGGCATGAGGGAAACCCTAAAATATGACGTTTTTGTAAGTAGTGAGAACGCTCTTGAGCAGGCAATGTTGTACTTTTCCTAAATGTAGATTAATAATTCACTAAAACAAGCAGACAAGAAAATTGCATTTTTGAAAAAGGTCAAGATTCTGATGTGAGCCAATGGAGTAACCACAGGTTGTTTTCCCCACAGGCGGGCTTTCTAATACCGACTGGGACTATCGACATATTGGTATTGTTGCATCACTGGCAGGAGAGTTTTGGAATTCCTGAATTTACTGAGACCATGACCTCAACGTGCATTAATGAACATAATTTTGCTGGTTTCAAACCATATATGAAAACATTATACATATTTTGAAAGCGGAGAAACAGCCCTTTGAAATTATATGAAATACAATAGCACCACATCAATCAAATGGTAATCAGTCAAGAAAAAACACTATGAAATAACACATATGGAATCATGTAGTAACCAAAAAAGTGTTACACAAATCAAACATGATTCCATGTGTTATTTCATAGTTTTGATGTCTTCACTATTATTCTACAATGTAGAAAATAGTAAAAATAAAGAAAAACCATTGAATGAGTAGTTGTGTCCAAACTTTTGACTGGTATTGTACAAAAAGCAACCAATTTTTCCCAAACAACTGCCAACTTCCTAATGAAGATAGACAACAACTTTGTACATTGAGTCTTCCTTATTTTGTAAGGGTTGAAAATCTGAAATCAGAATAGTAAAAAGTTTGAGAAACAGAAATCTAAGACTGGCCAATAAAAAGAAAAGATGAGATGGAAAGATGGGCAGTCTGAGATATGGCTTTTTCTGTTTCTCAAACTAGACACTAACGTATTTGTCCTCTTGCTCAGTTGTGCACCGGGGCCTCCCACTCCTCTTTCTATTCTGGTTAGAGCCAGTTTGCACTGTTCTGTGAAGGGAGTAGTACACAGCGTTGTACGAGATCTTCAGTTTCTTGGCAATTTCTCGCATGGAATAGCCTTCATTTCTCAGAAAAAGAATAGACTGACGAGTTTCAGAAGAAAGTTATTTGTTTCTGACTATTTTGAGCCTGTAGTCGAACCCACAATTGCTGATGCTCCAGATACTCAACTAGTATAAAGAAAAACCATTGAATGAGTAGTTGTGTCCAAACTTTTGACTGGTATTGTACAAAAAGCAACCAATTTTTCCCAAACAACTGCCAACTTCCTAATGAAGATAGACAACAACTTTGTACATTGAGTCTTCCTTATTTTGTAAGGGTTGAAAATATGAAATCAGAATAGTAAAAAGTTTGAGAAACAGAAATCTAAGACTGGCCAATAAAAAGAAAATATGAGATGGAAAGATGGGCAGTCTGAGATATGGCTTTTTGAGAAGGCCAGTTTTATTGCTTCTTTAATCAGCACAACAGTTTTCAGCTGTGCTAACATAATTGCAAAAGGGTTTTCTAATGATCAATTAGCCTTTTAAAATGATAAACTTGGATTAGCAAACACAACGTGCCATTGGAACACAGGACTGATGGTTGCTGATAATGGGCCTCAGTACGCCTATGTAGATATTCCATTACAAATCTGCCGTTTGCAGCTACAATAGCCATTTACAACATTAACAATGTCTACACTGTATTTCTGATCAATTTGATATTATTTTAATGGACCAAAAAATTGCTTTCTTTCGAAAACAAGGACATTTCTAAGTGACCCCAAACGGTAGTGTATATACACCAAAAAATATTTAAAATGTTATTTAGTCTTACATATGATAAGTAAAGACATACAAGTTATATAATATTAACAAAACAATAACTTTATTGAAAGAATACGTTTAGGGGAATATATTGTCATTCAAACCTGAGAACAAAGTGCAAGTTACATCGCTATCATAACCAACGCATGATATATAACAATCACAGGGATATTGTCATCAAAATGTAAATGGAATTACAAAATATAATAAGAATAAGGCATATTATAACAATAAATCGGCTTTTACAACTTCAATGTATTCTGTAATACATTCCACTAGGCCTCGAATTAAAAGCATGCAAGAGAGGCAAAATGACCAGTGACAATCTGAGCTCCTGGGTGAAGACTAGGAGTCCCTTTACTAGTGTCTATGTCTGCAATGAGTCACACTCACTGTAGTGACACAACATAAAACTATTTTGTTCCCCTACGATGCCTAACTGCTTGCCGATTCAGGTTCTACACAAACAAACTGCGCCATATTCTCTTTCCATCTTTCCTGTAACAAAGCAAACCATTTCTAGTGTAGTCCTCCAGTACATTGAAGTTCACCTAGGCTGTGAAGGAGTGTCCTGTGAAGGTGTGATTGTCCCTCAGCCCTTTTGCAGCCTCAGCAGCATCTTGTCTCTCCAGCCATCTTGTCTCTTCAGCCCCTGCCTGTCCTCACAAAGGTCTGAGAGCTGACAGTCCACCACAGTGTCAGAGAGAGAATAAAAAAAAGACGTACTTGTATTTCTTTATTTATATACACTGAACAAAAATATAAATGCAACTTGTAAAGTGTTGATCCCATGTTTCATGAGCTGAAATAAAAGATCACAGAAATTTTCCATACGCACAAAAACCTTATTTCTCTCAAATTTTGGCCACAAATGTGTTTACATCCCTGTTAGTGAGCATTTCTCCATTGCCAAGATAATCCATCCACCTGACAGGTGTGACAGGTGTGACATATCAAGAAGGTGATTAAACAGCATGATCATTACACAGGTGCACCTTGTGCTGGGGACAATAAAAGGCCACTCTAAAATGTGCAGTTGTCACACAACACAATGCCACAGATGTCTCAAGTTTTGAGGGAGCATGCAATTGGCATGCTGACTGCTGGAATGTCCACCAGAGCTGTTGCCAGAGCATTGAATGTTCTGAAACAAAGCTGAAAATGTCCCAGTTCTTCCATAGCCTGCATACTCACCAGACATGTCACCCATTGAGCATGTTTGAGATGCTCGGGATCGACAGCGTGTTCCAGTTCCCACCAATATCCAGCAATGTCACACAGCCATTGAAGAGGAGTTGGACAATATTCCACAGGCCACATTCAACAGCCTGATAAACTCTATGCGAAGGAGATGTGTCGCGCTGCATGAGGCAAATGGTGGTCACACCAGATACTGACAGATTTTCTGATCCACACCCCTACCTTTAAGGTATCTGTGACCAACAGATGCATATTGGTATTTCCTGTCATGTGAAATACATAGATTAGGGCCTAATTACTTTATTTAAATGGACTGATTTCCTTACATGAACTGTAATTTAGTAAAGTCTTTGAAATTGTTGCATTTATTTTTGTATAGTATGTGTATGTTCCGTATACACAGTGTATATAAACACACACAAAAGTATGTGGACATACCTTCAAATTAGTGGATTCGGCTATTTCAGCCACACCCGTTGCTGACAGGTGTATAAAATCGAACACACAGCCATGCAATCGCCATAGACAAACATTGGCAGTAAAATGGCCTTACAGAAGAGCTCAGTGACTTTCAACGTGGCAAGTCAGTTTGTCACATTTCTTCCCTGCTAGAGCTGCCCCGGTCAACTGTAAGTGCTGTTATTGTGAAGTGGAAACGTCTAGGAGCAACAACGGTTCAGCCGCGATGTGGCAGGCCACACAAGCTCAAAGAACGGGACCGCCGTATGCTGAAGCGTGTAAAAAACATCTGTCCTCGGTTGCAACACTCACTACCGAGTTCCAAACTGCCTCTGGAAGCAATGTCAGTAAAATAACTGCTCATAGGGAGCTTCACGAAATGGGTTTCCATGGCCGAGCAGCCTAAGATCACCATGCGCAATGCCAAGCGCCGGCTGGAGTGCTGTAAAGCTCGCCGCCATTGGAATCTGGAGCAGTGGAAACACGTTCTCTGGAGTGATGAATCTCGTTTCACAGTCTGGCAGTCCGACGGACGAATCTGGGTTTGGCTGATGCCAGGAGAGCGCTACCTGCACCCAATGCATAGTGCCAACTGTAAAGCTTGGTAGAAGGAGGAATGATAGTCTGGTGATGTTTTTCATGGTTCGGGCTAGGCTCCTTAGTTCCAGTGCAGGGAAATCTTAACGCTACAGCATACATTGACATTCTAGACGATTC